TGCTCAGCCAGGTATCCAAAGTTACTGTCACTGTCACAGACTCATGCTGTGTGCAGTATGAAATCAGATCGTGGTTGCTCACAGAATGATGGAAAAAAGCCAATTAATGCCTGACTTCTTTAATAAAACAACAATAATTTGTCTAGCTGCTCCGAGAATATTTTGACATTATGTGACCACATTTAACGAGAGGTGTCACATGCACAATAACGGTGCAACTGCATAGAAGCGTCAAAACCAGCTAAAAGTGATTAACCCTTGTGTGGTGTTCGGGTCTGTGGGACCCGTTTTCATTTTTTATTAAAAGAAAAATGATACAATTAATTAATTTTTCAAACTGAGACTCACTGACTTTGGCTCATTTTCTGTGAAGAACATATATCAGAATACATATTTAATGACCACACACCATACACCCCCCCCTACACATTTCTATTACATATAAGATGTCCGGGTCCACTGGACCCGGGGCTAATAGAAGTGTGGAAATTGATGTTCTGTTTACCGCACCCACACCCACACCCACACCCACACCCACACCCACACCCACACACACACCCACACACACACACACACACACACACACACACCCACACACACACACACACACACACACACACACACACACACACACACACACACACACACACACACACACACACACACACACACACAGCAGGCCTAGACAGGAGGAGGACAGAGGGTCAAATGTGCGAGAAAATGAGAGCAGACAGTGTTGACAAACAATGTTGCAATGTGACCTAACAAAGGTAAGGGCAAATATTAACCTATATATTGTTTTACTGCTTGTAATTGGGATAAGTAAACATCTGTTCAGTATTTTAACATAAAAGTTTTGATTGTGAGGTATTAAAAGCCAAAATGCAACGGGTCCATCAGACCCACAAACGCTGGCTGAGTAACAACAATATGAACAATAACAAGGGTTAATATTTCCTGCCTATCAAGAATGCCTTCTGCAGTTAGTCAAGAATTAAATATTTTAACCATCACTCCACTGTGAGCTGCCGCCGTTGTGAGCGTCTGAGAGAATTCTCAGCATCTTAAGGCAAAAGGAAAATTTATTTATATAGCACATTTCATACCCAAGGCAACCCAAAGTGCTTTACAAAGTTGACGAACAAAAGCACAACCAAAACAAGAAACAAATGACAAAAACAATAAAAGCGAGCAAAGGCACATGGGATAAAAACTATTTATTATACAATAAAATCAGGGGAAAAACAATACATTTAAAAGACATTTATCTCTCCATGTCTCCCATTTTTGTTTATGATAAACACACAATTTATTTTTTCAAGCTTTTGCCAGTAACTTGTATTTTTTCCAAACTTTCATGGATTTCTCTCCAAGGATTAAGTGTTTTGAATACTCTTCCTCTTAAAGAGATGATACAGCCTTCAGTCCTCCACAGGGTTCCAGCTCTAGTACTAGTACAGTCAGTCCTGTTATTTTGAAATATCCCTTACTCCACCTGACTGTAAATAGTTCTGCCGGGAACTTGCTGTTGAAGTTGGCCCTCAATCATTTAGCGCCCTTGAATATATGCAACACAGAATTGCTAAAGGCAACAAAAAAAGCTGTAAAAAAATCTGGCTGAAGAAAGGATGGGCAAAATATAAAAGCTGAAAGACTTCTTGCTCAGTCAGAAAAGGTACTTGATCACTAGGTAAGTCATGACTGTGTGTAGTACCTAGTGAGAAGCACAAAGCGGTGAAACTGATATTTTTCATCAGTGTTCACTTTAACACTACAAAGGCCAAGCCACCATCAGTTGGTGGCTGCTTTGAATTAGACATGAAATATCTCAGTGTTTAAAATGACCCATTGTGACTTTTCCCCGACATCATTGCTCATTTAGCAAATCAAGCAAGAAGAGATACCCTGTAATTCTACTTACCTACTGAGACTTATAATTTCATGACCTTCTCTTTGACCCCTTAAACTCATTCTGCTTTAGAGGTGAGAGAAAGAAAGATATCACAATGCCTTACGATTCTTAACCCTCAGCACTGGATGTTAAGTTTTCTACTATCCCTTTGTAAAATATTTATTCAGCCACATTTAAGGGATAAAGCTAGCGATGCTCTATATGTTTCTTATTATCTACAAATCCTGTGAAAAGACCAAAAACAAATAAGTATTGACTGTGTAGTCTGATATTTCCCATTCCTCTGTGACATTGATCTCCATTCAAAAATCATTAACAACATAATGATGAGTTGCAACGTTGCACTGGGTAACATGTCCCTTCATTAGAGTGGACATGGGAACTTTTTGAGTCCATCACACACACATCATCATGTATTTATTTTTCAGTAACGTTAAGTATTCATGACTAAATGACCAACAAGTCAAGTTAAAGTTCGGAAGACTCAAAAACTCCATGAAGATAAACTCTATTAACGTACAAACTATACATGTTGTCGAATCAACTCGCTCACCCTTTGTTGTTGCTGTGCTTAGTTGGGAGAAGGCCGTGGGAAGGAGACGAACTGTTTCAAAAAGATTAGTTTGTTACTAAAACACGTCTTGTTGGTGCGTCAGATATACGCCAAATTAAACACCAACTCATAACACATTGAATCGACTGTCTGTCTATTGCATGTGTGTCTGTTGGTCCACGGCTATTCCTGACTAAGCCCTCATCTGTGCAAGCATTACCTAAGGGGAAATTGCTAAGGTTGTTTTGGTGCAGTCCATTTTAAGTTAATTTGAGATTTATAGAACGGGCTTCTTAGAACCTGCATAATTAATTGAACGTAAGCACTATGTTGGAAATTATCTTAAGACTAAGTTCAAGTATAAATCTAAAAACATTTTTTTTTACATGAGGCCCTAGATTTACAGGCTCTGGCTAAGACCAAAAACAGGGGGTGCTGAGACATCTTAATCCAAGCCAGGGTTTACAGTAAGTGAGCGTTTGGCAGGTGCATCAAAAATCATTTTGGCATAGCTGCAGTGATGGATATGTGGTGTACTTGCCCTGCATGTTAATAATCACCATCTATTAATTACTGTTATTAATAATTATCAATGCACTGAGAGGGATATTTGTTTAGTATCAATGCAGATGAAGAAAAAAAGCAAGAAGAGGGAAATCATTTTACTCTTTCGCATTCCTGTTCTGCTTCCTCATTGTAACTGCCTACAGCAGGGGGTGGGCACTCAGCTTTTCACACTTGCAGTTTGTCATTAAGACAGTATTTGTTTATTGCCTATAATTAAAGCAGACCTTACTACAGGGGTCGATACTTCCAAGAAACTTGTGGGATAAACTCTGGAAAGAGCAGCAAAACCCTGCACACCCAAGTCAGTCATCCTGAGTTAAATTTTGCATTTCCATCTACTGTGACCCAATTACTCTACCTATATTATGCATTCACTGTCATCTGCCATGCCTCTATAGTGAACACCACAGGCTGTTTGGCCCACTGTCGCAGTAGCGTGGTCTTGTAAACAAATTGAATTTATGTAACCTTGCTGACGGGTAGGAACAGCAGAGTCCAGGCTGGCTGGCGAGCGTGGAGCTCCCAATGTTTGGGGCCCAGTGGAAACACAGTTATTACGACCAGAAAGAGTGAACTCACCGCCTACAGTGGCAGCCAGCTTGTTTTGTTATATGGATGATGAAGTTGATGTATGGGCCCCTTGTATGCGCAGAACAGCCACAGTCTTTCTGCCAAATGATGAATAGCATCAATACTGTGGGCTATTGGAAAAGACCAGGGCACACAAGATCTCATCTCAACTCCTCTTTTCCATTTTCTCCATTTTCCATTTTTGGCACATCTCAAATAAATTGTATTGTTTTCCTCTTTGTTTTGTCCTTCTTTCCTTGTCCCTCTCTATCTATAGACCCTACTCCTTTTGTGTAACTTTTAATGAGCTAAAAGGTATGCAAGAGTGCACAGGAAACACTTGACAAAGCACTTTTGAAAGATTAAGGCTGACTAACGGCACAGTGGTGTCTCATTGGCTTTGTCTCCCCCCTTTTCTTTCTCTGCATCTGTCCACCCGAGCAAGAGGCTGCGGGAATGAGCATTGCAATAGAGGCAAGATTAGAATCGGATGTGAATTGGGCTGGAGATTGGTTTGTAGACTGAAAATGCCTGAAAATGGAAGATGGGGTGGAAGCAGAGGGAAGACCGGGGGACAGATGAACAATGAGAGAGAAGGTCACAAATGAAAAGCCAGCGTGAGAGGATAGTAGTGCTGCTGGTGGGCTGGAGGATAAGAATGATTGAGTAGCAGAATTTTCTCTGATATTTGCATGGAAAATAACTTTAGAATGGCTCTAGATTTCCTCCTTACCACTTCCTTCTTTATTCATGTAATTTTATGTAATGGTATCTTTACCCTCAGAGTGCCCATTGGCTGCTTTGAAAGCAAACAGCTGGTTTGTGTTTAAGGTTGGCCATTAAAGCACTCAGGGTGTTTTGTGGCTTTCATTCCACATTTCATGTCATTAGTCACCACTAAGTGAATTTAATGAGAAATTACCTGTTATAGGAGCCAAAACTGGTTTTGCCACTGAAGAAGGAGCACAGTAATCCCTCCTAATGACTTATCATCTGAGCCTGAAACCTGTGGACTACTCATGAGTATCTAAGGCAGCTTATCCATAAAACTCACATTGATGGATGATGATCTGATGGATTGGTTGGTTATTTCACATTTTACACCAAGTGTACTTGAGTTGCAGCATCCAAAAATCATAAATGGTTTTACAGTACTTGTAGTTTGTTGACTGCACTCCATTTTCCAGTGTTTGGTATCAAATTATTTCCAAGCAGAGGGCTCTATCGATTATTTGTTGCACTAGGTGTCAGAGAGACAGTTTCCATAAAACTTTCATGTGGTCTGCTTTCCCGGTTGCCTCAATAGGAGTTAGTGTTTGGGTGTTAACAAATACAAAGGGACCCTATTGATTCTTACATTGATTTCCAACCGTCCTTTCCTCTTTTTCTCCCTCACAGTGGCAAACATTTTGTGGAGAGAAGAAGGTACGTCTAGACTGCTTCTGTCTTCACTACAGCATTCATTAAACTGAGTTAATTGAATTTTTGTAATAGGGTTACTGAACTGTGATGAGAGGGATTAAATGATTTGATGCTTTGAAAGTAGATAGCAATGTTGTAGGCTTATTTCCGTGGCAAATGTTCACACTGTGCAGTCTCATAAGCTATTTTAAGTATGTATTGTAACAGTGCCGTTTTTGCTTTCTCTCCAGGTCTCGGCATTGGAAACATGTTCTACGTGTTCTATGATGACGGTATTAAAGTAATTCAGCCTGTGGCATGTGAGATACAACGGCACATTAAACCCAGTGAGAAACTGCTAGCTCTGCAGGTGAGTGGTCGGACAAAAGAAACATTCAGTTTTTTTGTAACGGTGACTCATTTTTATAGTGATTCATTCTGAGTTGGACTGGAACACCTGAGCCATCTGTTTAACAGATCATCCATTAAAATGCACTACAGAGTTGCAAAGTACTGAGAACCACTGACAATTATTTTCCCAAAATATAATTTCCTATTAAACAATTTCAATATTATCCTCAATGTTACTCAGTATAGAAAAGACAACAGTCACCTGGATATTTTAACAACAATATAGGTTTATGTTTTGGTCATCAATCTTAATTACCTCAACATCAATTTTCAAAGTCATGGTCTTATCAGTTCGTATGGTTTAGTTTGGTACAATACCCATAGTCCTCAGCTGTTATTGCTATGGAATCCACTTACAGACTGCACAAACTGCTTAATGTGTGATCAAAATACAAATGAGAAGCTTCAGCTCCTGCTCACTATTAGTGGTGTGTGCAACTGATTCAAGCTCTGTGATTGGATGTTTGTCTTAACCAAAATGCTATTGCTAACCCAATTGTTGTCGGTTTTAGTAACCACCCCACAGATAATTATCACCCGACTCTACAGTATCTCTCAGCTATGAGGTGTTTTGGTGTCTTTCAGCTCAGTGTTTTGGTTTTATGGCCCACAATGCAGCCACCCATCAACCTCGTGTCCTGCCACTGCAGACAGCAGAAAGAACCAAAAAAAGCCAAATATTGTATTCTCCGGTGTAGTTGAAGAGTAACAGAGCTAAAAGGAGAGTGAATATTGGAATTATATTTGTCAGGTGGCCAGAAACACAACCTAAAATGAGGATTGATTACTCGCTTTTATAATTCTACTTTATTATTTGGTTGTTTGACAAGATTTTCTAATCTAATAAAATAGAAATTTAAAGGGAGCAGTGTTTCAAATCCTTGGCAGGCATACATTAAATCCTTTATCATTCTCCACCACGAAGCAAGAAATACTTCTACATTTATGATGTAAATGTTTTTACGGTAAACTCTGGTGTATAAATAGGGAAGTGTGTGCATTTTTGAATGGCAAAATGCAGTTATATGTGACTTGTGATTTATTATATGCTGGCCTTGACAAGCAACACTTGAAGCATTCTGTTGCCTGACCTGAAATCCATCATTAGCAGTCAATATAGTTTATATCGGGATTTATCTGAGATTCTTATTCAAAGGCAGCCAAGCAGATAAAGGTACAGTGTGATGCTCAAGAAAAGGACACAGCCTCCAACCACCATCAACATATGATTGATATGTTTTACTTAGAGCTGTATGATAAATAGTGAGGTGTCAACAGTAGCGATGTCGTGCTGCTTTCTCTTTCTATTCTGTCAAATTAATGGAAAAGGAGTAGAAAAGTCCATTAGGGTGAATAAATGCTTAACAAGACATAAAATAGGCACACTGTAACAAATGGATAAACAACATATGGTCACTTTTAAATGAAAAATATACCTCCATATTTTGATTTTAAGTTAAATTAAATGTTATTTTACAGATTGGACAAAATTGCTGAACAATGCTCTTTTTCTTATCAGCAACAGAGAATATGGAACATGAATTATAGTAACAGACCATCATCAAAAAGAGGGCACTAAAATGTATAATGTATGAAAACTTAAAATGTTTAGCAGCTTTAAGCAAAGGAGGGCTGCACTTAAAATAAAAACAATTCATGTATATGTTATTTTGTTATATTTGTTTTAGTCACAATAGAGAAAAGTATATAGACATAATATAGACATGAAATCACATTATAAAGTTATGGTAAACGCGCTAGCAAATCAGTTGCCTCTTTACACATACAGCAGACACAGAGCAACATTAGCATTCATTTGGAGTTAAGTTTATGTCTGCCTTATGATTGTAAGTCCAACATTCACTGTCCTTTTAGCTCCGTTTTTGGTCTTCACTATCTCCTGAGAGAAAAAATACAGAGATAAACAGCTGTCTGTTAAAACAAGTTGTGGGCCATAAAACCAAAATTACGATCTGAAAGACGCTAAAATGATGTGTAGAGTTTAGGTTTTCATATTACACATAGTTAATTTTTCTATTGTTGATGTAAAAGTATTGATTAGTGCAGCTCTAAAATGGTTATCGATAGTCTCACATCTTCTGGCTGCTATCATGTCTCAGAAAACGTTGCCCAGTTGACATAGAGGCCACCTTACAGTGTGGAGCCAGTCTGTTAAATTTAGTTCATTGACAGACCACATCCAGTCAGAGCGGGATTCACCTCCCAGTGGACTCTTTACACCCAGCCTCCCCCTCTGACTCACTGTTTATCATTGAAGCTTTCAAGCAGCAAAAAATTCAAAGCACATTGTTGATAGATACCTGTTAGATTTACATGTGTTCCCGAGTGGACGCTTTCCCCTGAGCTGCCTTTCATCCAGGAGCCCGGCGCTTATTGGATGGCTGTTATACATAAAGCGATGCCATGAATGCACAACAATCAGCCAAGCATTCCTCTGAGAGGTATGTTTGTATTAGGATATCAATCCAGCGCTGTCAAGGGGGATTGCTGTGTGAACACATGAGGCCGCTCCCAGCATGGTGTTCACGTTTTCTCCATCACAAAAGGAGCACTGATTGATTTGTTTATGGTAATCGCACAGGCTATCCATTATCCTTAACTACCATATAGAGTCTTTTACTGTGATACACACAGTAGTTGGGAAAACACTGTGATGTCCAATGATAGTAAAGTCGGTATAGGAAGTATTTTTATTTTGCCTCCATCTGCAGCCGAGAAAAATCTGAAGGGAGCATCCACATTTTTCTCGCTTTTGTCAAGTAGTGCTGTGTTGTAGTTAAACATAGAGAGGGTATTATGGGTATATTTTGGCATTGTACCATGCATATAGGGATCTTTATCCGAAAAAACAGATAAAGCTAGATTAACACAAACAATAATTTGAATTTTCTAAGTATCATTTGTTGAGCATTCACTGCATGTTTTCTTGTTGTACGTACCAAAGGGACTCGGGTACATAATCAACAGCTCATTTGCACTCCCTCCATTTTTCACTTCATGTTCTATAACCAGAAGCATTTTCTGAGCTCTCAGTTTTTCCAAGAAGAGCTTGTTTAATGTAAACTGCGATGATCAACATATTGGTACAGCAAGAAATACAGCTTTGGATTGCAAGGGGAAAATCTGTTTAAACTAATCTGTGCACAAAACTGTGAGCCTCATGTGTTTGTGATGTACTTTGCTTCATGTCTGGTGAATCAGTATCAGTACTTGGGTGTAAAAGGTTAAATTCCAATTGAGTTATCTACCATTTGAAAAATAGCTGTAAGTGTACAGCAGGTTGGATTGAAACCTTGGAGAAGCCTCTTGAGAGAATAGAAGTGTGTGTGCTGCTACTTTCCTGCAAAGTTCCTCTTTTTGACACTTTGGATGTTGCCGCTTCACTGTTTTCGGCAGTTTTCCTCCCCACAGATGGCTAACGTTGTGTCACAAATATATTAGTACTACAAATCATCCAGTGGCTTAACTGGGGAATATCAGGACCCTCATATTTCCCAACATAGCTCTTTAAACGTCATCATCCACATCCACATTCACAAGTGAAAAGAGTAGAAGTCTTTTAAAACATATTTTGCAGTACAATTTGATTTACAGTTTCCATTGAAGAGATACAGTACAGTATTGTATTGTTTCTGGCATGGTTCCAGTGCTGCAATGTCCCATCCAATAATGATTCTAGTGAATCCATGAAAAATACATACCGTTATATATCTAGAGAGTGTAGTCATTTACATAAAAAAGGAAAAAAAACATATCTGCAGTCTTAAGAAGCTGTCAGTTACTACATAAATCACATACATGCTATGCACCCACACACATACAGACATATGCAACACACATAAACACAGGGAGGATTACAGTCGCCTCCATTCACACCCTCGGCTGGGCATCAGATGTTTGATTTCTCACCTCTTAAAGGTGCAATAAGTAAGATATTTACAGCCCTGCAGCACAGAATGACCCCAGTGTGGGTCTGAAGGGGTTTCACAGGGTTCAATACCAATGACTCAACAATTACAATTACTTCAGCAAGTGCAAAGATTTCTGGGTTTCAAAAACTGAATTTCCCACCCTATTTTAGATGGGAAGCACTGACAGATGGTGCTACAACTGGACACTGAAAGACATTACAGCTACAGAGAATTGAAAAGCTTGTTATGAAGTACAAAATGTCAGAGTGCTGTCATTGATTTAGCATTCTCCATAATGAAACAACCTTTTTACTAGATTTTATTGTTGCATGTCTGCCCAAATTAACCTGCTTTTCTACAGATAAAATACCGGCAACAGGATAAGTAGGGGGCTGAACTAGAGATGAGATAAATTCTGTCAGTGATGCTGCAGCTCTCTCTCATCCTTAATAGAGTTCAATGAAGTTCATACATTACCTAATGCCCCTCTAACTGAGAGAAGTTGGCCTGTGGGAAGGCACCTGTCATGGACTGCTGCTGCGGTTGTAAATATGGAAGAAAGAGTTCATCCCACCATGCTGGAGCCCTTCATTCATCCTTGCTGGCCAGCAGCTCCCTAAATCGTCCCACACACTCTGGAACAGACGACTGGGCAGAGCCTGGAGGCTTGGAGGGCTAGGGAGGGGGCGAAGGGGGGGAGAGCTCCAGAGACAGAGGGCCAGCTAAGGTCTCCGCTGGCCAGAAAGGCGATCGCTGCCAGGACTGAAAGCTGAACAGCCAAGGATCGTCTGCAGGCTTTGTTCTGGGGATTATGTGTGGACAAATAGGAGCTATTACAGAGATTTTTCAGGACCTTGAAAAGCTCATTTATCTAAATTGTCAAGATAACACAACTCACATCAGCATAGGTGATAAGACTGCGAGTAGTAAACAACACAGAATAACGACTGGATGAAGATAATTGTTTTTTAATGAGACGTATTTCCCTGTGATATGAAAAACAATTAACAATGAATGTGTGTGTGCTTTTCTGTTTTCCAGGAGGAGGTGTGCCCCACCTCACCAGGAGAAGAGGTTCAGAGGTGTGTGTGGTCATCGGCGGTCAACATCAAGGACAAGTTTATTTATGTGACACAGCCAACCTTGGACCGAGTGCTCATAGTTGACATCCAGTCTCAGAAGGCTGTCCAGGTAGTTCTCAGGCTAAATTGGAAAACCAGGTTCATGTCAATTTTGCCAACAACACCACAATAATGTATGCTGTGAGAGGGTTTACACAGAGCAGGGGGAAAAAAAGAAATAATCTTTCCTGTTAGTGCCTTTGTAAAAGTAAAGGTTATTTTCTCGCAGAACTCAAAATCTGCCAAACAACCACAAGGTTGCAAGAGGTGAGTCTTTGACTCATACAGTTACCAGAAAACCACATTGATTTAACACAACATTTTTCACAAGGACCTTCGATAAATCATTACGTCATATAAGTATTTTCTATGATTGATTTTGTTGAATGAAGGACACATTTTTCGATTCAGTTTGATACAATACATTGTCCTTCATGCAGAAACTCAATTACGTGGGAGCATTGGACTACATGCTCCAACTTTTACCTTAACAGCATGTTAACTTTACCAAGACTTTTTGGAAACAGCTTGTGCAGTAGATATGCCTGAACTTACTGTTACATTCTACTTGAGTAATAATTGAATAGGATACTCATACACAAAAATGAGTGCTGTGGTGGGATTCAGACATAGGCAGGAGACCTCATGCAAGACATGTTTGACTGCGGGTTGACAATGATGTAAAATGATATTCATTCAGTAGATGTTATAATGTTGTAACATCTACTGAATCTACTGAATAACTGTCCTAAGCACCACCTCTTTTTCTTAACGCACCAATTTCATCAACCCTACACTAACTTGGGCTTCCTTGGTCATCTTTCTGCTCTAATACTTTGCCTGCCGAGTGCTTACATTTGCACTACAGTATATGCCACAAATAACACAGACTCTTTTACAGCGATCGGTGCCTCGCACATCTGCAACAGCGACACTCAGTATCCTGTTTGTATATTACAAAATAATTTTCCTAATTGCGTTGTGGTGATAATGTAATACCTGCCTGGATTATAATACAATGCATTTTGAAATACTACATTTATGTAACATGGTGCTGTCACAGGGAGTATGTTGGGATGGATGAGAGCGTACAACGTGCAGGACTGTCAAACCACAATCCAGGGTTCGCATCCAGACTCCTGCAACAAAAGCACTTCGGTTAAAGTTATGCAAAGATTATGAAGTAGGTCAAATGTTAATCTTATGTCTGCTGACCATTGAACAACACTGTAGTCACTACGAGTGGATAGTTATGCAAGATTGGGAGATTTTCCCATAAAATAAATGAAATACTTTCAGTATTAATATTTTTCAACTTGCCAGATAAGTGAATTCATAAAATTCCATTATTATGTTAATAGAAAACATAATTCGTCAGCATTACGTTTCCATCAAAACTTATTTTTGGTTGAAAATTATTTGTATATAAAAGTAATTTTGAGGAGACAGGGTCGGATTGTGTGGACTGCTGCTTTTATTGCAGCTTAAATCAAATCAAGTTAAATGTCAAGAGTGTAATAAGCTGCGAGGAAGACCTCAATCAGCTCCAAACCACTAAGGACCTACATCTGTTCAAAGTTAACATCAAAAGTCACATTTCTGTTTAAGCAACAAGCATTAGCTAACATTTACTAAAGTTAATGACTTTCCTCCAGTTAGTTAGTAAATGGTAAAGTGCAGCAAGTGGCTAAATAGTAAAGACTTGAATGTGATATAGCAACAGTAACTAAGGGGGGTTAGAATGAGTCACTTAGTTGCTTGGTAACTGGTGTATAATATGACTAGGTAATACAGACATGCAGGCATTCCATAGCATGTCTGACAGCCAATCAAGGTCTGATTTAAAGCCAGTATGTGTAGTATTATGTACAAAGAGAAATATCAAGAGCAAAAAATAACAAGTTTAAAAAAAAATGTTTTTTCTTGGAAATAGCAATGAAGAAAAGATTCAGCAGGATTGTCATTTTTACCCTGACAAATGACAAATATCATAGGCTGATTAAATCAGTTACTAATTAACTTCTGTAAAGGCAAAAATGAAACTACCTAAAGTGCTTTCTAGCTGCTGCCTGTCTGCAAGTACCCAGGATTGTTAGTGAGGAAGAACACCTCTCTTTGACCGTGAGTTGACTGTGTGTTTTAGGAAACAGGACCAACACAGTGTTGACACCACTCAAATAAAAAAAAATACTGATTGGGTGACAATTTGAGGAAAACATCCCAGTGAAATTTTTATGAATATTATGTTAATGTTTTAAGTTGATCAACTCCTACGAGTTCTGAATCAGTGCCTCCATTATTTAGATCAGGTAGCTTGCAAAACATAAGGTGTCAATGCAAGCAGTCTACAGCTGTGTCAGATATATGTAGTCCACATTTCATATATTTTGCTGCTCATCTCAATTTCAGGTCGTAGCTTTAGGTCGTAAAAAATTTGTCAGGCTGCCACTCAGATCTGTTTTGTGACTTCTCAGCCAAAATAAGATGATAACACATTTCAATGTATAATACAGTGTTTAATGTATAATTAGGTATAATTTAAGTTAATTTCAAACATTACTAAACCTTATTAGATTTGAAAAATTTTGAATTCAATAAAATGCTAACAAACCCAGGCCTAGTTTGAAAAAAGGTTTTGTATTTTCCTACGTTTCTCTCCTGTCCAGAGGCTTGTTTGTCAGTGCATCACCCCTGCTCTGGTCCACTTGCACTGATGATCTGAAGAGCTGCTCTTTCAGCTTTAAGATCTGTTCTCTCACCTTCGGTTCAACTGCTAACCCCTGACCGCACCCGCTTCATACATTCTGCAACAGTCGAGACCTACACTTAACCGCTACATTGATGCGGTGTCCAAGTGACCTCGAGACCCACCTCTTCATGGATACTGTAACCTGGCAACCCTTCATAGCTATTGTAACATGGCAACCCGGCAGTTTTCCTTACAGACGGTATAAGAGGCAATCCTTCAAACGCTCTGCCACCTTGCAGCACCATTTATTTTCCTGAGGGAATTTTATTTTTGCAAGACAGGCTCAGAAAGTATTCAGCACATTTCTAGTGAGGAGCGTTGAGTTAAATCATCGGTGTCAGTGGGTTTTTGGGTGTGTCAGGTTAACCCAGGGTTTCTTAGATCCCTGCAGATGTTCTTGACACCGTGATGGCTGTTTACAGCTCGCAGGCCTCTCAGGGACCTGCCAGTAAGCAGGTTGGCGTCCCAGAGACTGTCACAAGCTCATTATTCAGTTGCCTGGAGGTTAAGCTTCATTGCATTATATTAGCAGTTGTTAATTAACCACCTGAATCCGTCTGAAATAGTAAGCGACACGAGTTCTGGTTTTGGTTTCCTTGCTCTCTTTTTTCTCATTGAATCATTAATATGATTGACGTGCGTAAAGTAATAATAATGAGCAAATTGCGTTTTGAAATTTGTTACCAATTAAATACTCAGTGAAGACTTTTTAATGAGCACATTATATTTTGCGTGTTATAGCCAATGAATTGCAGAGTGCACACGGATAAATGCTCTGTAATGTTTTTTTGTGCTTCATCTCTGACAGATCCGCAGTCAGCGCTAGAGTTACGCGAGCATATTGGCTGAGGATCTTGATAATCTTTCCTCAGCCAGAAAGAAGTTGTTAGTCAAGAGAGAAAGAACAACATGAACACCTGTTTTCTCCAATGACTACATGCTCAGAGATTAGTTAGGATTCAACAGATATTCTCATCTTATTTGCAATAACCCTCTCAGGAGCTGTTTGCTCTCTCAGAGAAACAATATATATTTTGCCTAGGTAAACAATACTATTAGAGCTCCATGGCAAAACAAAATAGTATAGAAAGTAAGTTGCAGTCAGAAGTGATTGTGGGAATACAGGGATACAATAATTTTCTTTAAAAAAAGATGATTGCTTTTTTTTTGCTGCTGCTGAGGGTGTAGCTACTGCATGCATTCTTCTCCCCTGTGCTTTCTTTATTCCCTTTGAGCTGGCTGTCTATCTGCACTCAGGTGGACATAATGCATGAGGAGCGCTTTTCTGTCACATACAACTCATCTATTGTTCTGACTTGGAATATTGCCGCTGTGTGTCAAGGAACGGATAAAGACTGAAAGCAATTACTTCAGTGTGGTAAAGCAATTGTGTCTGTCACCACTTGATTTGAAATGCAGCTCAACACCAAAAACACCTTATACATAAAAAGAACACCTCCGGTCTGCCTTGTTAAAAGAAGACTTGCTCCTCAACTGCCGATGCATTAGTCTGCCTGAAAACTTTTCAAAAGCATTAGCACTGCACATCAAAGAAGGATCTCTTCAAAAGCAAAGTTGATTGCCTTGAATTGTTATTCTGTGGCCCTGCTGTCTTTAAATGCTCAGTTTGGTTTGGTTGTGTGCGTTTTCCTTCCAGACCGTCAGCACCGACTCATATCCTGTGAAGCTTCACTATGACAAATCTCACGACCAGGTGTGGCTGCTCAGCTGGGGAGACATGGAGAAGAATTTCCCTACTCTCCAGGCAAGTTCCCTGTTTATTACACTCCGATGTTATTCATTCCTCTTTAGAGGTTTATCCTTGTGAGCGGTAGAAAAGCAAAGAAAGAAAGATACAAGCACGGAGATGCAAACATTCAGCATTGTTAGGATTTGATCCAAGGTTAGCAAATGGCCAGTGAACACTGTACTGGAGCAATTATCACCGTGCTGGTTTAATGATCAATTTGTTTGTATTATTTTTTTGATTAATAAAATGTCACAAAAATGCCCATCACATTTTCCATATTGTCCATAGTGATGTCTTTAAATTGCTCGTCAAATGAAAAGTGACTCAAACAGTTGATTATCAAAATAGTGAGACAATAATTGATAAAACGCTTTAGCTAAAGATAAGATTGCCATAAATATAAAGCAATGAATGTGAAAAAGTTCACATCTGTCTCCAGTAAATACCATGAGTAAAGGCTCTAATATTGACACTTCAACATAAAATAAATTATAGGTTTGTCAACAAAGACAATCCACAAAGAGCAATATCATAAAAAACACAATGATCAGTTATATTCACATTGATAGACTTTACTCTACCTATAACAAATGGAGCAACTTCTTTGTCAGGTTGTAAAAACTTACAGCAACACATGTACAGTACATTGTAAATACGCCTATAATAACCATCTGGGCATGGCATTACAATTAATTAAATGTGAATTCCTCCAACTTGTCCTGCGTTTCCCCATTTTCCAATATGACATGAACATGGGATTAATCTTTGCAGCCTCTCTGGGGTTTTCAGCTGTTGATTAGTTTGTCTTGCCTGATGAGGGGCAATTAATAGTCACTTACAGTGCAGTGTGTAAGTATTTGGAAAGTGACACATTTTCCATTTTTTTTAGCTCAGAACTCCAATGCACTAAATTTGAAATAAAAAACTGACTATGAGGGTAAAGTCAAATAATAACCGGGGGCGTGGCCAGCAGGAACAAACACTGAGTGCAGAGGAATTACCTGTAGCCTACTACAACAGCTCACATGGTCAATGTAGTACAATGTACATTTACATCAGTACAACACAGCCATTCCAGTACAGTGTTCCTCATTGAAGAGCTTTTTCTACTGGCAGCCAAACTATCCACAGAGACCCAAAACAGACAAGGTGATTAAACTGCTAAAAACACTGAATAAAGCAGTTTTACCTGGAAAATCAGTGTTTCTCCGATGCTGTTTGTCAGACAAAGGATGTCCCGGAGGGGCTGTGAGCGGAGCTGCTGCTAACGTTAGCTCAGCTTATTTCTCTGATAACTTAAGATCCAGACATCTGATGACTAAATTCCATCATCCGGTTAAAATATAGGAGGTAAAAACACCCAAGATCTAAAAAGGTCACAATGCTGACGCATGCAGAAAGGGGAAGGGGAAAGCCATTGACAGGCGACCAATGAAACACACCATTACCTGAATAAAATTATAGATTTCTCTAAGTTTGAACATTGTTGGAAACATCTGCGATAATGATAGTACATAACTCTATAAAATATATGAGATAGCTCTAATGTTTATAGACATTTTAATGCCAAAATTTGACATATTATAGCTTTAACAAAACAACAGGTAAACATAGACAACGTTTTCAGTTTGCATTGTCTGAATAATCAGGGGAAAGAAGAAATAAAAGCCTCCTGGCACTGAGGTAAATAAAGGACAATTTATGGTGTCTGCAATAGCTAATGTCAGCATATCCAATTTTTGGGTCTAGGTTTAGCCACATTCATGTTAGAGTAACAGTGAAGGCATTGTAGCAGGACAATGAAAGGGTTAGAATCCCTACTGTTCACCTAGTTATGGATGTAAACCTTTTAAAATTAGTGCTGGAGTACAGAACCAACACAGCAAAAATGTGTTGCCGTCCAAATACTTACTGATTACACTGAATGTCACCATCATAGAATCAACAAATATGTAATAAAAAATGGTCTTTTTAAAAGTATCTTTTCCTCTGAGAGTTGCTTTGATTCAGTGTGAGGGTGTTTTTTCTTTATTTTTTTTTACTTGCTTGAAATTCCTGCTCATCATCGCCTGCACAGAAATTCATGAAGCAGAGTTTGGTCCGTGGCAATTTGCTTTGTGCATTGTGGCACAATCAAAGAAAACCCTGCCTACACACAAGCACATGTCTGCACGCTTCCACACATGCACCAGTGTTATTTAGACACCAGTGACAACGGCACACTTCACCTTGTACTGTGAAGCTCCAAAGTCTCAGCAATAAGAGGATATGCTGTATCTCAAATCAGTGCACCAACAAATAATTTAAATGATAGCAACATATTAAGTGATTTATTTAATGATACTCCAAAAAAAAAAACTTAACAAATACAAATAAAAGTATTTCGGTTCTAAGCTACAAATAGGTAAGAGTTGCAGATTAAAATAAGTAGAAACCAGCAGCACTGAGTGTATTCATCAAGCTCATGTTTAACACCCACCTCCTTCTCCATCACCAGGTGATCAGTCAAGCCAGTGGAAGAGTCTCACATCACACTGTCCACACACAGCCAGTCGGCAGACGCTTCGACAGGGTGGACGACTTCTTCATTCCCGCCTCCAGCCTCATCATTAACCACATCAGGTATGTCCAGTATGGTCCAAGAACACTCCTAATGCAAATTGATTTGCAAATTAAATTCACCCCAGTGGCTTTTTATTCACTTTTTCTCTCCTAGACTCAATACTACAATGATGATTTGGATGGGCATTTTGTGAGAGAGTGAGTGTGTGCTCATCTGTTAATGTGATAATGGAGGTCTTTGGAGAAAGGCCCAGTTGTCATGTGTGCTGCATGAAACCTGGCAGATCACCTGAAATAGTTCTAAAAATAAATCCTTGTTGCATCAGCTGTGGAATTAACATTTTGGATCTGAATTTATAAATCCAAATGTATAAATCCAAAAGCAAATTAACAACCACTGGAATATTTGTAATTACTAAAAGTGAAAATCAATCTTGTAATTCTGCCATTAGGGATGGGAGATAAATACAAATGCAATGCAAACATTTCCTCAATACAAATACAACATTTCAAGCTGATTGAGAATAAAAAACACAAGCTTTTATTAACCAATCACATAGCAGGCTTTTGGGAATGACTCATCCATTTCCTCAAATAGACACAGCAGAGTTGGTTGAGTCCGCTAAATGCACTACATACTATTGGATGTTTAGATTGGAGAGATGAATGCTTTCTCTGAGGAAGTTTCATCATGTCAACACAGAGAGCAACAGTTGAGCAGTCACAACAACCTCAAACCCTGTGCCAACAAAGACGGTTAATACCACATGAAGTAACATCCTCCAGTAATCTGAGTGAAAGCAAATAATCTGTTTGTGTGTGTTTCTGTGTTTTTGGACCCATTACGAGGGAATCTCAGCAGAAAATAGTGACTTCATTTTTATTATGAACTATATTGTCCTGCCCCACCTAACAGTCAGGACATCAGTCCATCTGTAACTGGTGAGATACCTGAGGTGCTGTTAAGGTCAGTGTTTGAGCACATTGCTTTAACCAGCTATGTCACTAAAACAAGGGTTGGCAGTGTAATTATGTTGCTAGGCATCCAGCGCGGTAAGTAAATGCTGATGACCATCATTTGGAGCAGTCGATGCAGCCTTAACTCAGATCGTTTTAAATGCCACGCAGGTTGTGTGTGTTCGGAAAAAGATTCTTTAAATCTATACACAGTCAGACAGTGTCCACATGAACTTTAAAAAACTGAGTCAGCTATAATGCTGCTGACATTTTATCTTTGACAATATCAGAGACGAATCAGAAAGAAAGCAATTCAATCACAGCACCTGCTTCCTCAGTACTGAAGCTAAAGTGTGCAGACTCTGCTTGAAATTGTCAAAAAGGCTGGTTCTTCTCAATATAAGTCATTAGCACACCTTGACTAGATTTACTTATTGTTATTATTTATGTGTTTTAATCTGCATAAAGCTACAAAGACAGTAGCCAGAGGGAGACAGTTGGCCCTTCAGCTCCTCTCTAACACTTCAATTAATCAACAACAGAGCTTAGACGTACTGAATGCACATTGTATCGAAACACTGATGTGGTTTTTATAAGTCATGAGCAGTTGTCACACTCTGGCTTAACATGGACACAGAAAAGCCGGTCCCAAACACTTGAATGATGTCACGGAGAGGCCAGAAACAAGCAGGAGGTCTGAAGGATTTCAGGATGTTAACGGTCTCCTGGAGAGGAGTAAGCAGTCCTGTGTGTGTGTGTTGTGTGTGGGGGTTGCTGGCACAGCTGTAATTAGATCCTCTGAGACCTGCAGGGAAGATTGCAGGGAAGTGTGGCCACCTTTTTTGCAATGTTGTGTTTGAAAATTGCCATCTTTACCAACTAGTTGCTCAACCATTTTGATGCTCTTAAAAATAAGCTTACTAAAAGGTTACTGCAGGTCCTCTTCATCATGAATGTTGTTTATGTGGCTAAAAGTGTGAAACAATACCTCAACAATTAAACTCCACACAGTATACATGCTGTGCAGCTCACTGTTTACACAAAGTTCTTTCTCACTGTATTCAATTCTGTGGGCAGGCTGCTAAATAGAACTGATATTAGTTCAGAACAATTTTTTTAAACTCCGGTACTTTTTTTTTTATTTTGGGGAAAAAAAAAAAATTTTTTTTTTTTTTTATTAGTCTGCTGATTAGTTGCTTGATTAATCATTAAGTCAGAAGTGCACCACAATTTCTCAAAACCCTAATACCCTTATGTTCATTATCAATTAGTCTGACAATTTCTTTCGTGTAGAAAATGTCAGAAAATAGTGAACTAATACTGCTACAAAATGTGGTACTTTTGTTTTCTCCTGGCATTTTTTAGATGCAATTCCTCTCTGAGAGCTGTAGGTGAAACTCACTCCCTCACAGGATCACCATTAGCTAGGCACGCTCCAATATATTGCAGTCACGTGTTTCTGATGACGCTCGAAATTCAGTATGAGGCCGAAAGTGAATGGAATGGATGAGATGGAAAGATTAAAGCCTCATTGTGTTGTTCCAGTCAGCAAGTGTGTAAAATCTGGAATCAGTCTTAAATTTTAAGAACACAATTACCTTTGACCTTTGTGATCATATTTCACAGTTGATTGGACACTGAATCGGTCAAAACATTTGACTCAATCTCCCCTTCTGTTCCTGAGTTATGGTGTTGAATAATGCCATAATTATGTCACAGTGAAGTTGATCCTTGACCTTTCGGGTAAAAAAATGTCATCACTTTATCGTTACATCCCGTTAAAAACATATGTGTGAAATTTTGTCATAGTTACCACAACAATTCTTGAGTTATGAACAAAAATGTATTGTGTTAGATCAAAGTGACATTGACCACCAAAATCAAATCACTTCACCCTTGAGTCTAAGAGGATGTTTGTGCTACAACCCAGGAACATAAATATGTCCATTACAAATTCCTAGAGCCAAAGGTCTGTACGTTTAAAGTATTTTATTTTGTCCAACCAACAGACTAAAACCTGAAAATATTCAGTTTACAAACACAAAAGACTGAAAAACAGCAGGGCATTTCAGCTTGAAAACAACTGAAAGAATAATCGCAAAGCAACATAGTTCATAAAAACAGTTGAATATGAAGCTGAATATTCTGTCGATTGACTAACTGATTTTGTTTCAGCACTAGTAATACTGTAGCTGTAACTGAAAACCTTGTTATGGAAAAAACAACCAGACAGAATGAGCAGAAAACTGTTAATACAACCTGAACAAAGTAATGCAGTATAGCCCTTTAGTATAGGGGTGTTGTATTGGATTGTGGAATATTATTAATTATTATTATTATTATTATTATTATTATTATTATTATTACGTGTTTCTAATGTTTTGTCCTGCTCAGTCAGTGGGGTTTCAGACAAATTTCTGCTTCATTTATTATTTGATTCACTACATTTAGCTGAAAGCAGATGGAAGTAGCACCCTCAGACGCTATTGGCTCTCCATGTAGTTTTGTTACAAACTCATAACTCAGCCTTATAACAGTGGTAGGAAGTAGTCTTCTGTATATTTGCCAGGAGAATATATCAGTATACAAAGAGCTTTAGGTCTATACATGTGCATGGATGTTTTTTATTCAGACAGCTGTTGTAGGGAAAGTTTAAATGAACTGCTGCCTTGTGGCTCAGATTTTTTATTATTTTTTTAATCTAGTAGCCACACAGCCATTTGTCTGCCGGCAGCAACACAGCATTGATTAGTCGATTTAGCAACATGAACAGAAGACATATATTCAGCAACTTCCGGGGATTGTTTAATGACTGGGGATTCCCTCAGCAGCTACTATAAAGCGAGCAGGAACTTCTGGGGGCTGTCATTCATTAAAACCATCGACTTACAGTCAGGCAACTCTGCATGTCAGCAAAAAAAACCTGTTATTTTTTATTTTTACCCACATCTACAGTACACTGCCAGACTGCCTTTTGGCAAAACAAGCCAAGCGAGATGTTGATTCGATGTATTTGCGCTAGAGGATGGGTGAACAAGAATTGCTGTGTTATAGATATATTTTACTGTGCAGCATTCATTGTTCTGTTCCTTGTTGATAAATTTTGCCCTCAGGATCTTCAACTGAACTGTGGAGCAAAGTGTTGAGACCCAGTCATTTCTAAACTGAAAATATTGATGTAGATAAGATGATAAAATGTTAAATAGTTTAACATAACCCTGTTGTGCAGAATCAGGGAGAATTTTTAATGCATTAATCATTGGTACAAATGACAAACAGCAGCTGTCAGTTTGGCTGAGAGCAATCTGGGTCTGCCAATAAAGCAACCCAGCTGTGCTCACATTAGAGCAAGGCCAAACAATGTCTGATTATTAATTTATCATACTTGAAAAAATATCTCGCTGTTAGTGAAAATAATATTTTCACTGCAGGATAAATGCACGATTGACCTTAAGCTTCCAAGCATACTAGCAAAATATCACAGTATGCGCACACTACCCCTTGATCTGTCACAACAGCCACAATACTGAACACAAAACAGAGCACAACAATTTAAAGAGAGTTTGACGGGTAGAGTTGACATTAGTCTGTAAATCATCAGCTCCCCTCTCCCAGTAAATGAGAATGGATTGCAGGTTCAAACTGCACAGTACATGTTAAAAATGATTCCTCTCTAAATTCTCACCTGTTTCGAGCTTATTTTTTTAATATGGGTGGGACGTAGTAACAACCGTTTTGTTTAGTGTCAGAGGGCCTCCTTTGATTTAGAAAGATTTTGCCAGGACCTCCAATCTAACTGACCTAACTGCTGTAAATAGAAAATATATGTCCTTATTCATGAGGCTTAATATGACTAATAACATAATTATAGCCTGGTTGAGGTCATTTTTCTTTTTCAGTTTCCAGTCACAATATCTGAAAAATCACAATTGTCATAATTTTTTCAAGATTGACACAAGGACAAACTTGTTTTGCAGTGAACCCACAACAATAAGATAATAACAATAATCAGTAACAATAATTGTCTGTTTTCGGTGAAGTTCTGTTTTATTTCGATCACATCAGTCTCTGTCAAGACTATAGGTAACCACAAAATGTAAAATACTAATCCAAAAATGTTACAACAAGCACACTACAGTTTTTCTTTTGACAGCTGCCATGTGGGAAATCAGACTGTAGGGCTGACCAAACTTTCTGACATACCACAAATCCACCAGATTGTCCAGCAGCTACAAAACGTCAAACCTGAACCAATCTGGCAGGACTTTGGCTTGCATAGAACTAAGCCAAGAACACACAATTGTGGGTTAAGAATTGGCCTGGCATTATATTAAAGATGGTTACTTTATATCCTGTTAATTTGTGTGCACAGAGTTTCTTTGTCAATGACTCCATTTAAAAAAAAACGGAATAACCCCACACAGATCTGGTCTGTGTGGACCCAGTGTACAAAATGATCTCTGGATCAATGAGTCCCTCCACAGGGATGATAATGTGCTCTGTGGCTTTCAAATAGCCATTTTCTGTTCACAGGTACAGACAGCTTGGTGTTCAAACGGCATAAAATATGATGAATGACGGCAAGATTGAAGTGCCTGTCAGCATCGATCAGCTAGTATTCACATTTAATTGAGGCCTGTCAGCTCCTTGCATATTCCCCCTCTACCCTGTTCAGCTGTAAAAATGTAATGTGCCATTAACAGATTCTTTGTTTTTTTTTAATGACTAGCATTTTCACTGATCAATGCCCCACATATAAAACTGCTATAATTCTATTAGGGGTGGAAAGTGTAATTGATGCTATACCACCGATATGAAGATTGTCAGGGAGCAGAATTGGGCTGTTGAAGTGGTTAAATGAAGCTTTAAGCCACATTATTATTTTTTCTTCTGAACATGTCTAACATTATGCCAGTTCAATTTTCATAATTACCCAGTACCAATCAATTTGCCTTTCTTCTCTCAGTTTGACTCTTGATATGTAAATTGTGCTGCTTTATTTTAAAATGTTACCACTTGCTGCTTGCATGAGCCTTAGAAACAAAAGCAATCAACACTCTTTACTGGCACTTTCCTTAGTTAAAATATTAAAAAATAGATTTTCAGAGACACTGCATGATTAAATTACCTTAAAATCACTTTTACTCCATATTTATAAGCGTTCTTGCTGTCTTAACCATCCAAAAAAGTTGGATTGTTTGTGAAGACAGCACAAAATAATTAAATTTTCAACTGTGATTATTAAATAATTTTGTCACGCTATGTAGCACTAAACACAGAGTACATCTGACACTGCTGGGGTGGGGGTATTTCATCATGAACTAAAGTACTGGACAGGATAAAAATGTGACCTGATGATGGCATTATAAAGTTAAGGGGCCTCTTAAGTTATTATTGCATTCATCATGAGAGGAAAATAAATGTCTGTCCCAAATTTAATAGGCAATCTCTCCAGGAGTTGTCAGGACATTTCACCACAAACCAAAAGTTATTAGGATAAATCATCTGATAACAGTCATTGCCTACAGAACATTTTACACCAGTCTATCTTGTAGATGTTCATTTCACTGGATAATAGGGGTGTAAGAAAATGTATTGCGATATTTAGTTTTTAAGTCAGAATATGTTGTGACTGAATTGTAAACCCTGCTATGGTATTTTCATATTCACACCAATACACAGCACTACTGGATATATAATGAAGTAAATTAAAGTTGGGTCTTGACCAAACTTAAGACACCTCATCCTCAAATTTGATGGCAATCAACTCAGTAGTTGTTAAAATATTTTAGTCTGGGCCAAAGTGGTGGACCGATTGAGCGACATTGCCATCTCCAGAGTCTCTCAAAAAATTTGGTTTACAAGAAGACAAAATGTGTTATTGATTCTGTGTTTTTCTTTGTTTTTTTCTTTGAAATTGTCAACAGATTTGGCCTCATCCTTCATCGAAATGAGCCTGTTCTCCACAAGATCGACCTGGAGACGACATCGTATGTGAAGAACATCAGTTTACGGGAGTATAACTGCATCCCCAAGTCTGTAGCGTACACCCATCTTGGCGGCTACTACTTTGTCAACTGCAGGCCTGACTCCACCGGCGCCACGCAGCCCCAACTCATCTTGGACAGTGTAACAGATAGTGTGATCGGCCAAAACCATGACGTCACCGGCACTCCCTATGTGTCCCCAGACGGCCACTACTTGGTCACTGTAGATGATGGCGACGGCCTAATGAGGATCCAGATGATCTCAGAGCGGGGAGAGATCCAAGAGCCCTTTGACATCCACACTAACCTGCACCTTTCTGATCTGGCTTTCCAGCGCTCCTTCACCGAAGTCCACCAGTACAACGTGTTTGGCAGCTCTGGCCGTCAAACTGACGCTCTGTATGTGGAGCTTAGCACCGGCAAAGTCAAGATGATAAAGAGCTTGAAAGAGGCCACCAAGTCGTTCGATTGGCCATGGAGCAGTAGGAACAGGGTAATGGCGGGCAGCGGACTGTTTGGACAGTACCTCATGACCCCCTCCAGAGAGTCCCTCTTCATCCTTGACGGACGGCTTAACAAGCTCAACTGTGAGATCACTGATGTCCTTAAAGGCAACGTGGTAGTGTGGGTCGGGGAGTCTTAGGTCATAAAGTCAAGACCCAATGAGCTTTCTTTTCCTCAAAAGGTACTGTTGCACAGAATTCTGTTGCAGATATTTTGATTTTGTGAGAGCGCAATAGTGAATACCACAGATTCAGAAACCAAATTGACCATTTGTAAATGCATTGGATGAGGGACTGCCATCCCAAAAAAATAATAGATAAAAAGTGAGGGAGTAATTGATTGATATTGTCTTAAAGCCAAGTTAAAACCATTTTTTCCACTGGGTGGTTCATGTTTAAGTCAGCATAAAGTTGCTTGCTGGTAATCTTTTTCAGGAAAATTGGTATGAATCCGTAAATATGTGCACCTTTGCATTATTATTCACAATCGGTTGTATTCAGTGTGTGGGAATGCTGTAGATAATCTCTGAAACAAACCAATATTTAAATGAATTGGCGAAATCAATATATATACACATATACATACATACTGTATATGTCTGGATTAACTCTTGTAATTTAAGTTTACCCATCCCCAACTTTTTCCCGTGCCTTCAAGGAAAATTCCCCTCCACCAGAGGAATTAACGTAATTATTCCCAGTGTGACTGCAGACTACACCTCTTCCTTTGACCCCTTCATTTGTGGTGAGCGTGGTTCCTCACAAATCTATCGCTCTCGTCTATCTGTCCGTCCATTGCAGCCAACTCAGTCTAATTAAAACAAGCCCTTGCTGTGACCCAATCCTGTTTGAAGTGGAGGCTGAGAGGTTCATTATGGTTGTGCGATCTGTAACCTTTGATCCGAAATTATAACCAGCGTTGGAACAAATATATAGATTTTTTCTTTTTTTTTTCCCTTTTTAGTCCAAAGCAGAAAAATGAAAGTCAGTGACAATGTTAGTTAAAACTGTACCAGCTTTATACACGACACATTGTGAAATTTAATATGTTCCTTAGCAATGAGTCAATAGAGAACTCGTGCGTGAAGAAAATCCTATCATAACTTCAATATCCCTGGACCAAAAAGAAGAAAAGAAAAGCTCTTAGAGTATAATAGAATGAACTGTGGAAACATGCATTGTCTGCTCTGTTTGACAGCATGTTTCAAGTGGATGTTTTAATGTGAAGTAATGATGAGCTATCACACTGGGGAGTGAGGTAGTCGTGGTTGTATTGTGTAGAGGGTCTTTGAGGATAGGCTTTGAATATAAGAAACAACTCTTTCTGAATGCTCCTGCAGTAGATACATAGCTGGCAAGTCTATGAAACAGTTTCCTAGCTGGACACATTTCTATGCATTTTCACCCTGGCACTCTATGACTCTGTGAATCACAATGGGCAACTGTATCTCGATTTAGTACGGACTTTTGATGTGTACAGATTATATAAAGTCATTCTGTCTTTCCTGTTAAATCTTACTAATATATATTTTGATTTTAATTTAATTTGATGCTTTTGTTCCCCAGTCATGTTGTTTTCCAACCTTTAACTGTACTGCTGATGATGATCTCTGAACTTTCTCTCTATTTATGTTCTGTACATAGCGGCTGACTGTGAGTCCATTAGTTTCCCATCGATGTACAGATTCACGCAGGTTCTTTTCATTTTCTGAGCCAATAATCACACTCCTTTTTAAGAAATGAAAACACACAGCTATCATTATGAACATCCTGTACCCAAGCACATTGTGATCACAAACAACGCTTTCACCTTCATATAGCCATGTCTTGTATGTTTCTTCATGTGATTGTTATTTATATAGAGAAAACACGCTTGTCATTTTATCCAACAATAAAAACTAGACCATGAAAAACAAGTGTAATATTGAATCTTTTCCTCATTAAAACAAACCTTTTGTACTGTAGATGCTGGTACACAGACAATCCAGTTTGAACATTATACTTTAGGTGCTAAAGCAGACTGTTGCCAATTATTATGCTACAAGGGATGCTACAAGAACAAGGTCAAGACTGTTGTTCCTTCGGGTTTTTTATCTAGCAGCAAGGCATGCAGTACAACGTATCATTATAATTAGCAAAGAAAGAAAATACAGTTCTAAGACTTCTGTGACCGAATGAAAAGCTGACTGAATTACCAGGAAGGCTGAGCAGCATGGGTTGGAGTAGTGTGTTATGTAGTCAGTTTATGTCAAATATAATATTTAAATTATTTTAATTTTATTTGCATAGGAAAGTGTGATATTCTGAACTTTATGGAAAATGTGATTGATGTGGGCATGATTCACTTATGTTTTGTTTGAAAAATCTTAAATCTGTAAAGTAACTGCATCTGTACAGTATTTCCATTTATAATTTAATTTAGAAATTAAGTGCAGTTGAAGTGTATGACAGGATCAGCATTTTAATACTTTAATAATCCCAGGGAAATTACTTGTTAGCAAGTAAGTAAAACTACGTAAATAGTACATCAAACTTGTAAAAATACCGTTTATACAGTACTTGGGTACAAATTTACAGTAGTTAAATTATTTATGCTTATTTCTAGCCACTGCCAAGGCACTTACAGTAGTTCATATACCATTGTATCAGCTGTTTGAAGAAACTAAAAGAAATAAGGTCACTGTCAACGTGAGTGTAAATTTACAAGTAGTTTTAAGAAATAGTTACCATTGTATCTTTAAGAAACAGAGTAGGTACTGATTAGTCCATTAATAGACATTAATCCACAATAATTCTGATAAGCGATTATTCATTAAAATAAAATTTTGTGCATTTTTTTTCATTTTTAAATAACATTAATATACTGGTTCCTGTCTTAAATGTGACTATTTGGGTTTTATATTGTTGTCAGACAAAACAAGACAATTGAGGACATCAATTGTCATAGCAGAACTCCATGCAAGGCGACCCGCAGCATCTGTAGATAAAAACGGCTCATTCTGAGTTAACAAAAACACAACAATTACTATATTCAGGTAATACACAAACGAAAACATACCTGTGAATATTATATTCCATTTCTGCCAATAGATCCTGCTAAATGTTACACACTGCAATCCTTGGAGACAAATGCACCTGTCAATGTGCGTCCACTAAAAGTGCTTATTTCTGCCACTGACAGGTTAAGGTTGTTATTCTAACATAATGACAACATTATGGGAAGGATTCCTATAGAGACCAGAAATAGCCATAATATCGCTATCACTCACCATACTCCAGAGGCAAAAACTGTAATTTTACCTTGCATATCATTGTAACAACATAACTTCATTCAAAGTGGAAACAAAATAAAACTCACTGAAAAAGACTATTAGTCTTTACACTGTTCCAACAATCACAAACATCTGTTATATATATATATAACAGCTGTTTATATGCAAGGACAGCATTTGTCCTTGCAAATTGAGACTAAGTTTTCAATTCAATACAATGCATGATGCCATCTTACCAAAATGAGACTGAAGACAAATTGACTGAAAAAGATTTTCTCAAACATCTACAAAATATATTTTCTCTTTATTTTTGTGCAGAACAATGCATATTTCCTTTTCTTTGTAAAAGTAAAACTTCGTCTTGATTACGATGATTGATATCATAATTCATTTTCTATCTCACTAATCTTCACATATCTTTACATTTCTGTAAAATACTGTAACTGACACCCGCCATCTAATTTTCTGTGGCCATTACATGCTTTACTTTGATCTATATCAGTCTTCTTTGTTAGAAATAGTTCTTTACGTACTTGGGAGACAGTGATATTTTCTTGACCCAAATAAAACTTTTTCAGAAAAAAGCAAATTCAGAACAAGTTGTTTGTTAAATTCCTTCGGGGTCTGATGTGAATAGAAAATGTTTTAAAACCAACTCATCTGTAAAAAAAATTTAAAAAATGGTAGGAATCTTCTTCCGTTTAAGGCCAACTGAATTTATAGATTTTTTTATTTTTTTATTTTTTTATTTTTTAAAATCAAATTCACATCCTTGAAATACAAAACCATTATACAGATCTTTTATGAACTCCCATTTTATTCACAACAATCTATGTTCAAGCAAGATTTCTCTGCTAAAACTATATTCAACACTTTCAGACAGTGTGTTATTTTTCCCCTCTGGACTTATTCATCTCTAAAATGTATACGGCTGTGTCAGGTGTTTTGGATAAAAGGATCCTCCAAATTGCACGAGGCTGTACCCTTATCTTCAAAATTCATGTGGAGAGGTACTTCCATCTGAAGAACCCCTACATCTGATAAGCCTTTTCCACTGATAATGAAAACCTACAACAATAAACCCTGTCTATGTCTACTGTACTGTATTAACTATTTGACTCATATGCCACAGAGAGTCTTTATGACCTGGACCTGTTGATACCGGATATTGTGTATTTGTTGGCTGATAGGTGTGTGTGCTCTGTTGGTAGTGATTAGGACTTCAACTAATGATTGTGTTCATTATTGATTATTTTTAAGATTAACCTGTTACTTGTTTAATTAAAAAGATTTCCGAAAATAGTGCCTCCCAGAGTCAAATTACATCTTCAGGCTGAAATCAAAAGGTGATTTACAACAATACACACATGAAAAACAGACCTGAATAAAAATAAATGTTTGACACAACATTTTCTGCTGATCGACCTATCATGGCAGCACTAGAAGAAATGTATCTAGAATGTCTATGGTGTTATCATAACACCTTGACCTTAATCATCATAATAATAAAAATAATAATAATAATAACTACACTGTACAGCTTTTTCTCTGACACATTCAGACACACTGTCAGTTCTTTTACAATGTGTCCTCATTATACAGTGGGTCAAAGACATGAACCTGTTGCTGATTCAGAAATTACTTTGTCAGAAGTTACATAAACCACAAAAAGTTTTTTTTTTTTTTTCCAAGGACAGTGCAAAAAATTAAAACAAACAGTGAACCGGCAACAGGGGTCATGGGGGGACAAGGCTCATTAATGTATGTGGAGAGTGAAGGCTGGCCAGTGTGGTCCGATCCAACAGACGGGCTGCTGTAGCTCAAACTGCTGAAACAGTTAATGCTGGTTCTGACAGAAAGGTGTCAGAACACACAGCGCATCACAGTTTGTTGGTACGGGACTACAGAACATGATGACCACCAGTGTGCCCAGGTGGTCATCATGTTCTGGCTGATCGGTGTATATTAGTGGAATATTATTATTTATTAAGATTTGTAGAAATAGATCAGACTTTATACGATGACCACATGATTCAATCTGCTTAATTTGCTGTCAGAAAAGTATAGACAGTTAAAAGTACAATATTTCTCTGAATTGTCAGGGAGTGAAGGGAAAAGCATTGTAGCAGTATAAATGTGTGTACACGGAAGCCTTTGAAAGCACTTGCTGATGACATACGTTCGGTTATTTACCAGGGATCAACAGAGCTAAAGCTTCAGTGCAAAAGTCTGTAACCCATTCTCATGATCACCATGCCCCCTTGCACTCCTGATAAATGCTCCCTAAGCCATTTCTCCCCCCACCGGTCCCAATTTATATTCATCTCTTAGTCACACAGGCTGGAAGTTTATATTAATATTCTTCCTTACAGAACCCCCTTTAATAAAACAGCCATGTGAATAGAAAAGAGGTCCTGGCAGTTCCTTAATTATCTATCGCTAGTCCTTTATCTTCTCCCGGTCACATGGGAGGGCCTCGGACCCCTCCCCACCACACACACTTGTGTCTCGCCTCCATCAGGAGGATTTAGCACAAGACTCTCTCTCTCTATTATTCCATTCATAAGACGAGCAGTGTAATCATGCCACTGGCTCCTTAATCATGTTGCTGGGGCCTGCCAACAGCACAACCTCTCTGCTCCATTCATACCGAGGCACCTGATGACTGATTGAGGCCACTGGTGGTGCAGCACCTTGTGTCGGTTGTAGGTCCTCATCCTGCATTCTCCTGCCCGCTCTCTCTCTTTCGCTGCCTCCAGAATAATCAGTGTACTTCTGTGTGGCGGTGGAAGGCAGCGGTTAGAAAATGGATTTTCTCTCAGGAAAGGAAGACTTCCTAAACTGCAAAATTGACTTATCACAGTCGTACTATAACCAAAATGTGACGTAATCACACAAAAAAAATTAAATCGTTTGACTAAATTGGATAAATTAATTGTAATCCATAAGATGTCAGAAAAGAGTAGAAAAATAACCCTAAATGATGGCTTCGGGTTGTTTGCTTCGTCTGACTAACAGTCCAAAACCCAAAGACACTGAACGCAACAAACCTGGCTAGCGCTTCTATGAGGCAGTGGGGTGATTTGAGCTAACGTCATCATGCTAACATGCCCATAGTTACAATGCTGACAGGCTGACGTGAAGCAGGTAAGGTTTACCAGGTTCACCAATCCTAGTTTAGTGTGTTAGCATGCTAACATTTGCTAATTATCATTAAACACAAAACAGCAAACAAACCAAACAGTTGAGGATGATGGGAATAAACCAAAATATTGGACAAATTTAGATTTTTATGTATGATGAAATAAAGTCAGGTGATCACAAAAGTTATTACAATTAATCCTTAGGGGGATGTTAATGTCTAAAGACATTTCCCTCACAACCCGACATATCTCTCTCTTGTGGTCATGCTAGAGAAAAAGTCAGCAGGATTCATGCTCTGGGAACCATGAATGTCTGCACAAAATTGTGTATATTTTTTTAATAAATCCATCAAGTAGTTATTGCACAGGATAAGTGAAAACTTTGTTGAGAAAGTTCCTTCTGGACCGAAGTGGTGGGCATACCAACTGACTCTGGAGTCACACTGCACGCCTGATTTAAAATAGCAGCGAGTCCTCACATTTTAAGTAATTAATCAAGAA